AATCTTAGATGATAGCCCTACTCAGAAGAAAAGAAGACAAAAAGACATACACACAAACACACTTATAGACAGATACACATACATAGTAAAAACCGAAAGAATTGTGGATGCTGTAAATTAGGAACAAAAACAGAAGTTGCTGGAAAAGCTCAGCCGGTCTGGCAGCATCTGTGAAGGAGAAAACAGAGTTAACGTTTCGGGTCCAGTGACCCTTCCTCAGAACTGATACTCAGAACACATAGGTAGCCCTACTCAAAAGAACAGGCCTATTGGTGCCTGATAAACAGACACTACACAGACAGACTACTCCGTAGGGTAGTGTCTCTAGATACTGAATGCTTGCTACAGTGTGAACCAAGCAAAGTGCCCTGAGATATTGCTGAGAGATTTTGGAAGGAGCTTTGTTACCTCAGGAATATTTTTATTCCGCTTTCTAACTTGTTCCAGTCCACCATTAAAAGCAAGGTGAAAAGCAAGGTCGGTCATTCTAAATACATTTTAATTAATAATTGAGTCAGTGCACTTTTCTGATCAATCTATTATAATCTTTCACAGTCACTGCAGCCTCTCTCTGTTAGACTCAGATATTGGAAATGTGCTATAAGCTGGCCAAACACACACACAGACACACACAGACACACTGACACACACACACACTGACACACACACACAGACATGCACCAGGCACACACACACGGACACGCACGGACACGCACAGACACACTGACACTCACACACTGACACACACACACGCACACACACACACACACACACACACAGACACACACACAGACACTGACACACTCACACGCACACACACAAACATAGACACACAGACATACACACAGACAGACACATACACACACACAGACATACATACACACACACACAGACACTGACACACTCACACATACACATGCACACGCACACACACGTACACAAACACAAACATAGACACACAGACAGACAGACACACACACATACACACTTTCTCTCACACACACACACACACACACACACGCACAGACCTGGACACACACAGACAGACAGACAGAAACACACACGCACACAAACACACTCTCATACTCACACATTCACACACATACACAGACACACACATATGCACACACACAGACAGATGCATACACAAAGCATATGTATACACAAAGGCATGCACATACACAAACACACAGACATGTATAGATAGATATACACGTACAAATCCAAACAGATATACACATGTGTAGACAGACACACAAACACTTATACACAGACACATAGACAGAGAGACACACTCCTTGCCTGTGCCATTCATTGCATTCTTTTGGTGGGAGCATTCCCCTTGCTCCAAAAGCTGCAGCATGACACAGAGTGAATGATAAACTGTGTGCCCTTTAAAATCTCATTTACAGGATGCTTTCATTAGAGCCCTCAATTGATGACCATGCGTCTTCAAATTTGCATTCTCATTAGGGTCATGCGTTCATCAGTTGTTAATATTATTTTCATGCAAATATGGTGATAGCAGGATAAATTACAATAGCAGTTCCAGTTACTTGCATGAACCAAATCCTACAATGTAGAAGGAGGCCATTTAGCCTCCTGTGCGTATACTGGCCCTTTGAAAGAGCTTCTGGGATAATCCTTCTTCATCTTAATAGCCCTGTGAAACTTTCCGTGTCTGTGTGTGTGTGTCTCAGTGTGTATGTAAATGAGTGTGTGTGCCTCTCTGAGTATGTATCTGAGTTTGCGTGCCTGAATGTATACGTGTCTGAGTCAGTGTGTGTGTAGATCCCAGCAACTTACTGAGTAAAAAACATTCTGTCATCCTCCACTGTCTGTCCCTGTCATTATCTTAAATCTGTCTCCTCTGGTTTTCTCTCATTCTTTTCCTTTACTGCTCCAAGCAGCAATAACTGGTAATAATTAAACATCTGGAATCTGTTGATGAATCCCAAAGCTTCGTTCCCGATCACCCCCAAGATAAAAAAGTGGAGCTCTGACTGTACACACTTTTTATCTTTGTAATGTCCATCTCTGGACTCGAGAGAGGCATTTTGATTTCACTTAGAGAACTCTTTCACCTGCTGCCTGTACCCTGCCTTAGATCGAGTCCCATTCACACTCACCTCTGCACTTACATATGCACATTAACTTCTTTTCTGAGTTCATTCACGGGATGATGGCATCACTAGCCAGGCAGCATTTATTGTCCATCCCTAATTGCCCAGAGGGCAGTTAAGAGTCAACCACATTGCTGTGGGTCTGGAGTCACACGTAGGCCAGGCCAGGTAAGGATGGCAGTTTCCTTCCCTAAAGGACATTAGTGAACCAGATGGGTTTTTCCGACAATCAACAATGGATTCACGGTCATCATTAGATTGTTAATTCCAGATATTTTATTGAATTCAATTCCCACCATCTGCCATGGTGGGAATCGAACCTGGGTCCCCAGAATGTTACCTGGAGGTCAAGATTAACAGCCTAGTGATAATAGCACGAGGCCATCAGCTCCCCTTGATTTACACTCTGACTAAGGATTGCCTCAATTTTAAGATTTTTGTACTAGTTTCAAATCTATCATTGGGCTCACAAATTTCTCCCTGTTTCTGTAACTTTCTCGAGCCCCACCGCCCTCTGCGATATCTCAGCTTTCGTGGTACGGTATCCTCCCAGTTCTCCCACAGCAGCCTCCTGATGTGGTGTGATGACCCCCCAGCGTGGTGTGGTGACCCCCCCTCAGTGTGGCATGGTGACTCCCCGGCGTGGTGTGGTGACCCCCCGGTAAGGTGTGGTGTGGTGACTCCCCGGTGTGGTGTGGTGTGGTGACCCCCCGGTGTGGTGTGGTGTGGTGTGGTGACCCCCCGGTGTGGTGAGGTGTGGTTACCTCCCAGCATGGTGTCCTCAGCCCGGCGTGTTCTGGAGCCAGGGTACCAGTGCAGGCTGATAGCTAGCTGCCAGCATGGTCTATTCCAAACTTTTATTTCTGCAATACTCAACATTTTATTTCTCTGTTTTCTAAGACCTTATAACTAAAGGAGCTGTACCTAAGTACATTTGTACCTAAGATGGCACTGTAAGTGGCAACGTATAAACTTTTCACTATATTTACTGACTAAACGTGACAATAAACGCTAATTCTAAATCCAATTCTACTCTGATTCCTTTTCAGTATCCCCGAATCTAATTGCAATCGCACCACCATTGGCAGCTGTGCCTTCAGTAATCTGGGAGCTACACCATACATTCTCTCCTAAACATCCCCACATCTCTTCTTTTCTCTTTTGGGATGATCGTTTGCCTTATTTTTTCAACCAAGCCCTTAGTCTCACAGTAATAGACATGTACAGCACGGAAACAGACCCTTTGGTCCAACAGGTCCATGCTGACCAGATACCCCACCTTAATCTAGTCCCATTTGCCAGCATTTGGCCCATATCCCTCTAAACCCTTCCTATTCATATACCCATACAGATGCCTTTTAAATGTTGTAATTGTACCAACTCCCACCACTTTCTCTGGCAGCTCATTCCATACTCACGTCACCCTCTGTGTGAAAAAGTTGCTCCTTAAATCCCTTTTAAATCTTTCCCCTCTCACCTTAAACCCATGCCCTCTTGTTTTGGACTCCCCCACCTGAGGGAAAAGACTTTGTCTATTTAACCTATCCATGCCCCTCATGATTTTATAAACCTCTATAAGGTCACCCCTCAGCCTCCCATGCTCTAGGGAAAATCGCCCCAGTCTATTCAGCCTCTCCCTGTAGCTCAAACCCTCCAACTCTGGCAAATTATCATCTTATGTGGCTGAGTGTCAAGCTGTCCTGATTTATGTTCTCAAGAATCACTTTATAATGTTTTACTATCTTAATGATGTGATACACATGCAAGTGGATGCTACAGTTGGTCTTAGAATTCCTGCACTTGGAAAAGAGACAGAGACAGAGACAGAAATATCTGTCAGGGTTCTTGCTTCTGAACTGAAATTTTGTAATCTCTGCTCATTACAGGTGTGTACATGATGCCGAGATGGGGAAAGAATCAAGCTCCCTTGTTGTAGCCACAACTTACCAAAGGCTTGAAACCCTACTGTGGCTCACAGTTAGGTCTTGTATACAATAAAGGGGAATATATCTGACATCAGGGTCCCCATCTCCCTCTGTTCGTCTTTCTCCGTCTTTGAGAAGGAGAAACTCTTTAAAACCCATTTCTCTGAAAAACTCTCAGGTGATGTCTCCTTGATTGGCTTGCTTTCAGGTTTGTGCAGTGTCTGGGAGGTACCTCCAGACAGTCCCCTGCAGTAGTGATGCCACTTAAGTCGGAGCTTCAGTTATCCACCATCATATGGAAGGGCTGCTGAACACTAACATAGCAGGCACACATCAGAGGAGGATGGCATGGGGCAACCAAGGGTTAGGTGGTGAGGGGGATGGGCATGGGCATGGCATATACAAGGCATTTGGCAGTCTTCAAAGGCAGATTGAGCCTTAATGACATCTTCAAAATATGATTGTGCATTAGATTGGATTCGATCACACGCTCACTGCCAAAGTGGCAGGAAACAAAATTAAGACCACGGATTATTTACAATACAGGAGCATTAAGTGACATTCGACAGCTGTTTCACACATCTGTTCCATGGAAATCAATCCAGACTTTCCCCTACACTATCTGCAGCATCATTCTCCTTCCCACACCCTTCCTTACTCAATAGGCTCCAGAAGGATGCTTGCCTTCGAAGCTTATACAAGAATCATAGCTTCTTATACGTTTAAAAAAGCAAGTTGCTGTTCATTAGTTGCCATCCTTCCTGCCTGTAATGAGCCTGTCATTGCCAGTATTAATTTCTCATTGTTTAATTGATCTTGCAGCAATGTTCATCCATCATAAAGCTGTTCAATAATTCTGGTTGCCGAAACTTTGTCATTTACGACGGCCTTCAATTATATCCCACAATACGGCTATTACACAGCAGACCCACTTCTAAAACTGAAATCTCACCATTTCACATTTCCAGTTTGGGCTGGGGTTTATTTCACTCTTTCTTCCTGCCCAGAAGATGAAAGAAACCCAAACGATACTGAAAGCAGGAAAGGAATTCACCAGAAGGCTGCAAAAGCTTGAGTTCAGATGGTAACAACATAAAGGGCATGATGGGCGAAATGGCCTCATTCCCTGCTGTAGATTTGAAATAATTCAATCACTTCTGAAACTTCAAGACCTCTGAAAGTGCAATACATATCTAGTCAACATAAGGCGTGTCACAATTTCATCACGTTACACTCTGAACTATACCTTCGTGATAACACCCAATAACACACCCCTAAGAGTAACTCTGTCTATAACACACCCTCACTGTAACACTCGATAACACACCCCTCACTGTAACACTCGATAACACACCCCTCACTGTAACACTCAGTTCCCCCAGAGATGGCAGCTGTCTTCTCTGAAGGGTCAAGCACCCTTTGCAATAAGCACATGAAGATAAGCCACTATCAAGCTCCTCAGGGCCAGTTCCAGAGAGTGCTGTCTGCTCGTTGCATTTTATGCACTTGTTATGGGCCGGAGCGCAATAAAATTATGATAATACAATTTGATTGCAATGGTAGGAATAAGTTCAATATGATCAGAAACTCAATTATTGTGAACATTTTAGCTGGAAGCTACACTTCCATGGCAGCATCTGCTTCTGAAACTTATTAAAAATGACCATTTTATTGAAAATACACTTAGCTACCATTGTTTGTGTTTAATTTAGTTGGTGAGTTGTACAGGGAATCAGGGTCGGGCTTGGTGCAGGTTCTGGCTCATAACCCTTATTAACAAGTCCAATGAGAACAAAGCCTGCATGTTCTTTATCACCTAGTCTAAAGATATTACTCCATGGCCTTGCCATTTCTTTGTGTTGTTGTGACTTGCATTCAGGCTGCTTGCAAGTGCTATCCAGTTCCTAATCTCTGAAATTCCTTCCCTAACCCTCTGCACCTCTCTTCCAAAGGCAAGATCTTTGACCAGGATTATGGTCACCTGTCTTAATATCTTCTCCTCTGGCTCAGCATCAAGTTTTTGTTGTATAATTACTTCTGTGTAGCACCTTCCTATTTTTTTACACTGTTAAAGACACTACATGAATGCTGTTTGTGATAGTTTCCCTGTGTCAGAAAATCCTGGCTTACAACTCCAGTTTCAGAACTCTGAACCAGGGGTCGTAGTTTAAGGATATGGGGTAGGCCATTTCAGACTCAGATGAGGTGGCATGTCTTCACCCAGAGAATGGTGAGCCTGTGGAATTCTTTGTCACCGAAAGCAGTTGCGGCTAAAATATTAGATAACAAGGTGTAGAGATGGATGAACACAGCAGGCCAAACAGCATTATAGGTGCACGGTCTAGGCCCGAAACGTCAGCCTTCCTGCTCCTCTGATGCTGCTTGGCCTGCTGTGTTCATCCAGCTCTACACCTTGTTATCTCAGATTCTCCAGCATCTGCAGTTCCTACTATCTCCGCGGCTAAAATATTGGATGTTTTCAAAACGGCATTAGATATAGTTCTTAAGGCTCAAGGGATCAAAGGGTATGGGGGGGAGAAAGCAGGAACTGAGATGGATGGTCAGCTATGATCATATTGAATGAAGGAGCAGGCTCAAAGGGCCAAAAGGCCTACTCCTGCTCCGATTTTCTATGTTTTAATCTAGAAACGTCATCATTGTTTTGAGTGCTCCTGGGATTAGGAGAGTTGGTGAACTTTCATCCAGGGTTCCTGCACCTGATTGGTATCCTTAGAATGATGTACTTAGTTGGAAGTTGAACAAAGACAGCATCAGCTGTGTTTGGAATCTGGCTGGGTTCAATGTCATGGATAACAAGTGGCCAATAACGCACCGGATAAAGGATTGGAGGTTCGCAGTCATTGGTATAACCAGTCTTTACTGAGAGAAGAAGGGGAGGTGATTAGGATCAAGGAATGAGCAGAGGTCAATGAACTACCATTGTTTCTGCAAAGACACATAGCATGAACAAAGAGGCTATTCAGCCCCTCAATCTCTTCCTCCATTTTATTAGGTCAGGGCCGATCTGTACCTTAACTCCATCTTCCTGTCTCAGTTCTGCAGCTCTTATTGTCGGTGCCTAGAAAAAAAATCGATTCACGTCAGATTTGAAATATTCAGTTGAACCCAACAGCCTCAACACCTTCTCAGATGAGGGGAACCTCTCGACTTCCACCCCTTTATTGAAGAATTGCTTTGTGATATCTCATTTTATAGATAAAAATCCAGCTCTCGGCTCCCAACCCCCATCAGAGGAAATAGTTTCTCTTTATCTCGCCTATCAAGTCCTTTAATCAGCTTAAAGACCTCAATTAGATCACTCCATTAATCTTCTTCTTCAATGGCAGCTCACAGCAGGGACACCTGTCAGTGAGACAGCGACTGCAAAGGAATCTTGAACACAAAGGCAAAAAGAACACAACGCTCAGTCCTCAAGGAGAGGGCTCAATGAGCAAGATAAATCTCATCCAGTAAATCTTGCTGAGTAGTCACTGTCTCCTCACAATGCCGTCTTAAGAATAATTGGCATATCTGAAGAGGTTATTGCTGTAAGATTCTGTGAGATTTATGCAAGATATTAATGTTCAATAGCAAAAAGGAAGGGGGTGTGGGATGGTTTTCCCAAACACCAGCCATATCTCACCAGTGGCCAGAGTCAAAGTCTGTCTCTTCTTTGTGAATTTTCTTTACGTTTAGGCCACTCTGCCCCAACACCCTCTGCCTCTGCCAGCCTCCTACCGATCCTCTTGGCAGGTCAGGTAAAGGGAACACTGACAATCAAACGGGGCAGTAACACCTTCAGTATTAAGGCTGTACCCGAAAGAGCTTATTGTACATATTTTAAGCATTGTTTGCATTAATACAGCTGCTTTTGTACAGGCTCAGCACATCTCTAAACACTCGACAACCAACTAAAGTTTAAACTGAGAGAAACTGCGGATATTGTAAGTCAGAGCTTTTCCAGCAATTTCTGGTTTTGTTGCCAACTAAAGTTATTTTACAAGTGGAGTCTCCGATGTAGTGCAGGAAACTCGGCGGCTAATTTGTAGGCAGTAAGATCCCACAACCACTACCAAATCTTTTTGTAATGAAGCGATTGCGGTTGAGGGATAAATATCAGTCACTATGGCACCTGGGATGAACCAACTTTATCTTCTTCCAATCGTGGCCATGGGATTGTTTGTATCTATCTATCCGAGAGCACAACCCGAGAAATAATGGGGGTGAGGTCAGGCAGATAGTTGACAGGCACCAGGGGAGAGGAGTCAGGGGGCAAAGAGCAAGGAGCAGGCAGCCAAAAAAGGAACAGCAGCAATTGCAGAAGACACAGATAATTAGTCTGGACGAAACTAAAGACATTGATCCATTCTTCCTACAAACTTTCGACCACTGTGGGCACATCAATTGAAGTCAGAAGAAGGGCTAGATTCCCTCGAGTAGCATTTATCAGTGCAACAGAAAACGTGACTTTAATTGAGTTGGGCCAAATCAACAGACACACTCACAAGGAGATGGAAATACACCAATGAGCAAATATACACTATATTTATCACACTCAAACTTGCATTTAAGTGCCATCTTTAGTGCTATAAAACATTCAAGGCACCTCACAGGAGCGTTCTCAAACAAAGCTTGATACCAGGCTGTAGAAGGACTTTTTGAAAAAGCTTAGTCAGAGGTAGATTTTAGGGTTCATTGTAAAGGACAAGAGGATGACAGTGAAATGGAGAGGTTTATGGTGGGAATTCAGAGCTCAGAGCTTCAGCAGTACACACCCAGCTGCAAACACACTAGTGTGATGGAAATGGGGCGGTTCAAGAGGTGGCCTGAGCTGGCGGATCACAGAGATCTCAGAAGCTCTTAGGGACTGAGGTTTACAGAAGGGCTGAGGTCATGAGGAGCATTTCAAACTTGAGGCATTGTCAAAGTTGACCCAATATAGGTCAGTGAGCACAGCATTGCTGGCAGGACAGAACTCTCTGTATGTTAGGATACAGGCTGCAGAGTTTTGGATGAGCTGAAACTTACCAATAGTGAACAGAGTCTGGCCAAGAGAGTACTGGAATAGTCACAGATGGAAAAAAAAGCAATGACTGACTCACACATTTACTCACTCACTCACT